AGGTTCTAGTTACACCTCTGGTCTGATCCCAAGGCCTTGGATTCTTATCCCTTAAGTGATGCACAGTTATCACATGAAACACTTGTTTTGAGTGATGGCGACTTCACATCTGGGATTAGACAGTCATATAACCAGCATAAAACCTATACATTTCAAATGGATGACTAGTGAAAGTTGAGCATGTAATTGCTTGGGGCCTGGTTACCACAGTCATCCATTTTCAGATCTTCCTGCAACCTACATTCTAAAAATGACAGTATAAAAAAAACCCCATATGTATAAAAACTCAAACCGCACAGTTTAGATTTTCAGTATAACTCATACATTTTGCCTCAGTTGCTGGATGACTTAAACCAATAATAAACCCATAAGCAAACATTTATTATATTGCAGCTTAGCAATTCTTAGATTTAATGGCTGCATTCGTTTTCTTTTTTTAAGCTGTGCTTCCTTTATTTTCACCTGGTGATCTAGCCAGTAAGTCTGTTTTTCAAAAGAACAAGCTCTTACAGATGTATCAGTTTACAGGGATGAAACAAACCAACCATTTACCGCTGACAGGGGTGCTTACAATGGTCAGCTTTTACTTATTCATGCAAAACCTTTATCCTAAATGGAAAAAAAAAAAAAAAAAACGTTTGCTGTAACTGCTTATAAAAGATGGCTTCAATTTGTTAGTGTATTTAAATCTGCTAGAACATTTAACACTACCCTTCCCCCTCCTCCCACGACTTATAATGCTGCTGTCTGACAAAATTATAAGACTTTTCTTTTTAACAGAAAAATTATAAGATCAAAATAAATATATCAACATATCCAACAATACAAAAAAGTGTCCAAAATATCAAAATTATCAAAAATAGTCCCCACAAATATAAACCATTGTACTCTTTCTGCAAAATTTCCTTCTCAACACCCGCAAATCCTGATGACAAAACACCTCAAAAGAAAAAAACTCTAACGTGTCCCTGACGCGTTTCGTTACTTCCTTCTGAAAAAGACGTATCGATGCTAACCGGAAGTGCGATCGCGGCCATCTTGGAAGTGGGAACATGTGGCCAATGTTTCCCTAAACTGGTCTACACCTGTATCCCTTTGAGGAGGAGCTGCTTCACCCAAATTTTAATGTAAGTTGTTAAATAAAGGAAGATATTGTTTGATCTACCATTTGTAACTGTGGATTTTCTCATGAGGGAAATGGAGGAATAACCCTAACATTGGATGAAACCTGAATGATGAGATGTTAACCCAGAGTGGTGCTATGCCCTGTCATTTCTTATATAGGGTAATTATCCATCAGCACACGAGTTGGAGAGTGCTGGTTTGGGCTTAAGGTGTACACTGATGTATACAGAGTGTGGTGATACACATTTTGCAGTGATAATTTTGAGTTTGTTCTCACTTATTGTGTAGTTGACACTTTGTGTGAGTGTCTTTCACTTATATCTATATTTATATATTTATTTTAGGTACACAATAGATTATTTGCATGTGTATAGATACTCGCTTATAGAGTATACACATTTATATAGATTTTGCATGTTGCACAGCGAGTGGCACGTGTGTTTTAATTATTTAAAAGGTATGACACTATGTTGAGTTTTTTTCTTTTGAGGTGTTTTGTCATCAGAATTTGCGGGTGTTGAGAAGGAAATTTTGATGAAAGAAGAAAGAGTACAATGGTTTATATTTGTGGGGACTATTTTTGATAATTTTGATATTTTGGACACTTTTTTGTATTGTTGGATATGTTGATATATTTATTTTGATCTTATAATTTTTCTGTTAAAAAGAAAAGTCTTATAATTTTGTTTGTTTGGCCTTCAAGGGTGGAGGTGGATAACTTTTCTGGGATATTGTATTGGGATTTTTGCTGTGTATTTTGATATATGTAATGCTGCTGTCTGGCATGCCCCCTGTGCACCTTTATCCAGAGTGGGGGCACTTTAATAGAGGAGGTGTATTATTGGCCAGATCACCAGGTGAAAACAGAGTGAAAGAAAAAAAAAAAAAAAAAAAAAAAAAAAAAGTAAAAGTAATGCAGCTACCACATCTAATGATTGGTATTACCACTTTAATGTTTTTGACAGCCTTTTGTTCACATCAGGCGGGTTCTGCATTCCAATATATAGTCTATGTAAATGGAAAATCCCTTGAAAAGGTCAATTGCAGGCCCAGAGGAAATCGGCTGCTAATCAAATACGCGGGTCAGTGAATTTTGAATCTCAGAATCCTCTGAAAATGACATAAAACACAAGTTCAAAGCTCGACACAGATCTTAAAGGTTGTTGATTCCCTTACATAGCACTGTGGCTACAAGGTGCCATCAGTCTGTGGCTACAAGGTGCCATCAGTGTATAGGCAATGACTCAAGGTTATCGAACAACAAATCAAGGTTTAGGATTTAGCTGGAGTTCAGCTTTAAAGCAAACCTGAAGGGAGGGAAATATGGGGGCTTCTATTTTGGACCTTCTTATACAAAATACCAGCCGTTTGGCAATCTTTAGCTCCAGTAATTACCCCCAGTACTACGTGATAAGCATGCAGAACATCATAGTGCCTCAGAATGTAAAAAAATATTTGGATTTAGCATGACAGCCAGGCAATTATTATTTCCAGAATGAGTTGTCAACAACTGCAGCCCTTACATGCTGGTAGGTAATTCATATCATAATGCAGAAACATTGGCAAAACATCATGTGTGGTTGAACAGCAGTAAGTAATGGTAGGTAGTGTCATGATACTGCAACATAGTTCTTAGCAGTGCTCAGATTCACCCCCCAAAAAGAAAGTTTTTTTTGTTTCTTTGGAGGATATCCATCTACTCTTTGTGTGCTATCAATGGTTCAAAACAGAAGCAGTACGGAGAAAACCCAACTAATGACCTTCTTTCCCCCCCCCCATACCCAAAGAATTGCTATGGTGGTAGGATCACCTTATTTTAATAAAATAGTAAGAGGCATACTCCATCCATAACCCTAGGACCACCCAAGTCCGAAAACTCCCCTGAATATAAATGCGGTTATGTGCACTGTAAAAAAAGAACAGTCATGTGACCTTTTCTTTGTATTAAAAACAAAATACCAGTCTGAGTGATATGCAGGAGACCTCAAAGTGCCTGCACACACTTTTCATTACCTTCACCAGGGCCCTGGTACTCCTGAAACCCATGGTGCCTTGATATTCCTAACCCCAGAAACCACTAAGCAGCTCATCCACTCCCTCATCATCACGACTCGATTTCTGTAACTCCCTCCTCACAGGCCTGCCTCACCACAGGTTATCCCCGCTCAGTCGATCCTGAATACGGCAGCCAGGCTCATCCACCTTACCAACCGCTCCGTTTCCGCCACCCCCCTCTGCCAATCCCTCCACTGGCTTCCAATTGCCCAACAGTTCAAATTCAAAATGCTAACACTGTCCATAATACTGCCCCAAACTACATCACCGACCTAATATCCAAATAAATACCACCCAAAACGCACTCTCCGCTCCTCACAAGACCTCCTCTCTAGTTCCCTGGTCTCCTCCCATGCCCGCCTCCAGGATTTCTCCAGGGCATCACCCATCCTCTGGAACTCCCTACCCCAATCAGACTATCACCTACTCTACTCTCCTTTAGGCGCACCCTGAAAACCCACCTCTTCAGGGAAGCCTACCCCTCCCCCTGCTAAATTGCCGATCTCCTCCACTCTTCCTACCACTCCATCCCCCACAGCTATCTCCTCCTGTACCACTATCCCCTCCCTCCTAGATTGTAAGCTCCAAGGAGCAGGGCCCTCGAACCCCTCTTGTATCGCATTGTATTATTATTGTACTGTCTCATGTATTGTCTCCCATTGTAATGTACAGCGCTGAGCGAACTGTTGGCGTTTTATAAATACTGTAATAATAATAATAATAATAAAAATAATAATAATATGGAAATACCAGCTATTGCTGAGAAAGTCCAAGACTGGCCTAATTCCTTTTAATTTTTTTTTTTTTTCGTTTTTATAGATTGCTCCAGGCCAAAAATACAATTTTCTTTGAAAAATATAGATCTGCATACTAGAGCTCCCATAGTTTTAAGACAAAATAAAAAGATACTACTTCACAGTTTGACATTTAACATTGATTAAGAACTGCATTATTAAAAAATACAGAAAGTACTCAGAATTCAAATGTGATTTTTTTTTTTTATTAAGTTACATATTTTAGTAAGTCACAAGCAAATTTGCATAATCCCTATGGTCAGAATTGTAACAATAAAATAAAGAAAAAAAAAAAAAAAAAGGATTTAGATGGAAACATATACAACATATGTTTTTAAAATTCTGCAATGCACATCTGAATGCAGCAAGTTGTAGCTTTATGTCCTCTTGTTGTACCAAGAATGTAGGCCACACATGCAAAGGGTTCATCTTCCTTGGGGTCAGTGGGCCCCAACACTGTACAATCTTAACAATCGACAATCTTAATGCACAATGCATTATTCCTCTATCTGTAGAAGTTTCCAATCAACCCCAGTATTTAGCAGGGGTTGTTAGAAACTCTTATACATGTAGTGGCTCCCATTTCATGTGTGTGTCAGTGGTGCCACCTATGCAACATACTGATATCACACGAATGCCATGGCATCCTCTCTGCATTATCTGTACCAGAAGGTTCAAACAAATGAAATTGTTAGGTATTTGGGTTTCATCCAGGTTCTATCCCAAATAGAGGGCTGGCATATCTGCTGATTGATCAATCCACGGTGATGACAACAATGTAGTGCTATGCAGAACTCATGGGTTGCAGAGTAAACTTCTCTTTCCAGTAAATCACAGGGTACATTAAATATTTCTTTCCATGAAAGGCAAGGTGCAGTATTTTGAGCCAGGTTTAAAATATGAAATCCCAGTTTTTGATCCTTGTTCTGTTGCACAAAATAACATTGTTAGATAAATGTAAAGGAAAATATAGAAGATGAAAAGATGGAGTATGACGACGTCAGCAGTTTGTACCAAGGTTTATTTTTATGTAGCAGGGATCTGTGGTAGGCCAAATTCATCTACCAGCACACCATCCTGTAAGCAACAGAAAAGAATTAGCATGAGATAGGATGACACGATTTCTACCATCTCTTTGCATAACATGGAGACTAGCTATATATAAACCCAGCTCCAAATAAAACTTTTCTTTTCATTTTGTATAAAGGAAAAGGAGTTGGAACTTTTTGCAAGAATCCATTTCTGTTTGTCTTTCTATTGTAGAGATTTGCTCATGATAACACCAAGTCAAACAATTAGGGCAATGGATGCCGATGGGTCAGAAGTCACACACAGCAATTAACCCAGAGCTCTAACCTTTCCCTACACCAAAACAGAAAGTGAAGAAGAAATTTCCCTAATGGGGACAAAGACTGCAAAAAAAAAAAATAAATAATAATAATAAAAGCAAAGACGAACAAACAAAAACAGACAGGTTTTAATCCTCCCCCACTCTAACCAAAGTAAAATAATTAAGTCAATTACCTTGTTTTTGGAATCACTGGGAACTCCCTCTGGTATAGCTGGGGCAGAGGCTGCTTCATCCAAGTATGACGTGTCTTCATCAGCCAGCAGTTCATCTCCCAGTGCATCAAGCTCTGTGGTCAGATACAAAAGTGAAAATAAATAAATAATTGACATATGTCCAAAACACTTGTTTTCCTAAATGGACAAAAAAAAAGATTTTGACAAACTGAAAAAGCTACTTTAGTATTATATTATATGCTACCTGTTCATTATGATTTTTCTCTTTTGTCAAGTTCCACAATACAATATTCAATGTAGTGTTGAAAAGTCAGTAAAAAAAAAAAAAAAAGTCTGGTTCGGCCTGAACTTTTATAGGATTCCAATTAAATATCATCGTAATATTCACATACAGCACCAAGTCACAATTTAAAATGCTTATTTAATTCCATTATACCCCACTGTCAATACCCAACCTCAAGGTTAGAACCACAAGAGTACCAAAATCTCCACACCACAAAAAAATTAAAACATTGTTATGCTTTTTGGGGTCTCCAATGTGGACTTTGATTCATCAAGGAGAGATATACAACATTTTCAAATTGTACAAAAAGAATCTAAGAACTTGACCTAGAATAAAATTATTTATTAACTATTAATTAGAATAAAATTACATAAAGTGGCTGTAAAGGCTCAAGGTGATTCTATGCATGAAGGTAAAAAACCTTCTGTGTGTAGCAGCCCCCCCTAACACTTACCAGAGCCCCATCCTGATCCAGCAATGTCCACAAGAGCCTTGGTTCTCCGGGGGCTCTCACTCCTGACTGGCTGAGGCAACAGCAGGGGCCACAGGCTCCAGCTCCTGTCAATCACAGCCAGTGAGCCAATCAGGACAGGGAGGGGGTGGGGTCAAGCCACGGCTCTGTGTGTGAACGGACATGCAGAGCTGTGGCTTGGGAGCTCACCTGCTTGGGTGCCGCCATAGCAAGCGATTTGCTATGGGGGCACCTGATAGGCGGGAAGGGCCAGGAGCACCGTTGGGGGACCCGAGAAGTGGAGGATCTGGGCTGCTCTGAGCAAAACAAAAGAAAACAAGACTTAGGTATCACTTTAAAGGATGTGGTATTTACTAACAGGCCATCTGTGGAATCAATATCTTAAATTGAAAGTATTTTGTATTTTCAAAATAAAAAAAAAAAAAAAAAAGAAAAAATAAATAAAAAATGATACTTTCACACAAAAAGTACACTAAAGAGACAGTTCATATATGTGCGGATTGGATACGGTTTGAACCTCATCCAATCCGCATGACATGTGAATTAACATTGCTTCCCACGGCGCATGTACACATGTACGGTGTACTGGCAGTGCGGATTGAAAGAGTCCTGTCCGATTTCTGAGCAGTGTGGTCTGGTTCAGTTGCAGATTACAGGCTCATTGACTTCTATAGGAACCGCATCTGAATCGCACATGTCATGAGTTTGTGAACACTATTTCAGGAAAGTTTTCTCTCCTGATCCTGATGTAAACCTTACCTAAACTGCTGAACAACCACTGTGTAAGTTAGCTGTGAAAACGGAGTTTCAATTGTACCACACGTGTGAATCCACACTTATCCAAACTGTGGAGCACGGACACACACACACACACACACACACACAACGAAAAGACGAGAAGAAAACTGGTCTGAGAGGCCTACAGCAACATTAAAAAGGAGCTGCAGGAATATCTGGAAAGTACTGGCTGTGTGGTACATGTGACAACAATCTCCCGTATTCTTCATATGTCTGGGCTATGGGGTAGAGTGGCAAGACAGAAGCCTTTTCTTACGAAGAAAAAAAAATCCAAGCCCAGCTAAATTTTGCAAAAACACATCTAAAGTCTCCTAAAAGCATGTGGGAAAATGTGTTCTGGTCTGATGAAACCAAGGCTAAATTTTTTGGCCATAATTCCAAAAGATATGTTTGCCGCAAAAACAACACTGCACATCACCAAAAGAACACCATACCCACAGTGAAGCATGGTGGTGGCAGCAAACATCCAAATCAACAAAGGGATGGCTTCACCAAAAGAAGATTAAAAGTTTTGGAATGGCCCACCCAGAGCCCAGACCTGAATCCCATTGAAAATATGTGGGGTGATCTGAAGAGGGCTGTGCACAGGAGATGCCCTCCCAATCTGACAGATTTGGAGTGTTTTTGCAAGGAAGAGTGGGCAAATATTGCCAAGTCAAAATGTGCCATGCTGATAGCCTCATACCCAAAAAGACTGAGTGCTGGAATCAAATCAAAAGGTGCTTCAACAAAGTATTCGTTTAAGGGTGTGTACACTTTTGCAACCATATTATTTTTACTTCCCTCCACCTAAAAGATTTCAGTTTGTTGTTCAACCGAGCTTTACAGTTTATAGGTTACATTAACCACTTGCCGTCCGGCCACTGTATATAAACGGTGGGGCGGTGGCAGTCCAGGGGCAGGTTGCTGTTCATAAACGGCGCCTGCCATTTTGGACTGTGCGCACTCCCTGGGAGCGCGCAGCACCGCGATCCGGTGCCCGCTGTGTCCTCCGGACACAGTGGAACACCGATTGTCGTACGGGACCTCTTAGCAATCTTAGCAAGGGTTAGACAGAGTGTAGATATAGTAGGAATAAAGATTGGGGATGTGGAGCACAAGGTGGCAGCATACGCAGATGATATGTTATTTTATAAAGTAAATCCTAGAATAACATTTCCTAATTTAATGAGACTTTTAAAACAATACGATGAGCTGTCAAATTTGAAAATAAACCCTGCAAAGTCAGAGATTTTAAAAATCAACATTTCAAAGCAAGAGAAGTTGAATCTTCAAAAAAAAGAGTTTCCATTCACTTGGAAGGAAAAGGAAATAGGGTACTTGGGAATAAAATGAATGCCCTCAATAAAAAGCTTATACCAGGCAAATTATATCCATTTAATAAATGAAATGAAATAAAAGGATGAGCTGGGGAGACTCAAAAAGGGTGGAGCTTCTTGGATAGGTCGTATATATCTGGTAAAGGTGGTGATAGTCCCAAAAATTCTTTATAAGATCCACGAGCTCCCAATAAGCCTGCCAGGGTCTTTTTTCAGGGTAATAAAGAAGTTGATACTCAGGTTTATATGGGCTAATAAGAAACCGAGAATTAGAGAAGTGTTGTGTAGGAGGGTAAAAAGGAATGGGGTTGCCTAGTTTTAGGAAATATTATTTAGCAGTATTATTATTACGAATAGTAGCATGGACATTTCATTCACAAGGGAAAGTATGGGTAAATATGGAATGAACACTAAGTAAGGCACAGTTAAGGAAGATTTTATAGATACCACATAAATTTCGTTCATTAGATGAGAATATTAGTCCTTTAACAAAAAAAGTGTGAAGTGTTTGGGACAGAATTTATAAGCAGAAAAGATGGAAATATAAATCCGTACTAATTCCTTTGGTGGGTACTGAGTATTTCCCTCCAGGGAAGGATACAAGTTTTAGTAAATGGATTAAAGATAAGAATGCACATTTGAAGGATATTTTGATTAAGGGGAATTTACGCATATTAAGAGCTAAGGGAAAAAAGTTATTTATTTTCCACATTAGATGACCGGTGGTATGGACAATTAGGACATTTTGTTTCATCGCTCCCTCATCCTCTGAGGACTGAGGAGGATATGTACCCATTTGAAAAATTGTTGAATGTTAATACAGTTCCGAAACAAGCTACCTCTAGGATATATAAAATCCTCATAGATATGGAGAGAACTGATCCTCCCGGGTTCTTGGAAAAATGGGAAATGGCGCTTGGAACAAAATTGAAGGAGCAACAAAGGAATAAAAAATTTAAATGAACACGAGGTGAGAAATATGAGCACAGTAGAAACGAACTATAAAATGGTTGACGAGATGGTATATTACACAGAGTGTGGCGCATAAGCAGCAAGCTGTTTTACTTTTAATGTTGGAGAGGCTATGGGAAGAAGCGTACTATGGCACACATTTGGTGGGATTGCCTGAAAATACAGGAGTTTTGGAAGGAATAATTCATGGTAACTAGGAAATTAGTGGGATCACTATAAAAAAGGACCCATGGATATTTTATTCTGAGCTTGTAGGCAAACAGTGTAAAAAAAGGATTACTACACCATTTAATCAGTGCCGCCAAGGGCCTCATCCCCAGGTTTTGGCAAGCTCCGGAGCCACCAAGAATAAAATGACTGTTTAACCAGAGTGTAAAATATTTTTAGGATGGAGGAGCTGTGTCATGCGGAGGAAGATAAAATGGAAGAACTTAGGAAAACGTGAGGTTGTTGATTAGAATTTAAAACATCTAAGAGATACTGAGTTGGTCGGGAGTCAGGGGGGAAAAGCCCGGAGAGAGCATGATGGAGAATCTGAAAGTGAAAGTGAGCGTGAGAGGGAAAGGGACATAGATCGTGATATATAAATATAAGAGGAGCAAGAAGTAAGTTAATTAGATCTGGACAGGGGTAATTTGGGAGGGGGTTAGCGGGAGGAAGGGTGGGAGATAAGTTGTAAAAGAGATTCATGTACTGGTGAATGTTAATTATATTGGCTTGCTATATTTTTGTATTGGAAAATTTAATAAAAAGATAGAATAAAAAAAAAAATATATATATGAATGACACAGCAGAGTGACATACATTACTTCATGTTGTGGTAATGTGCATGGAAATGCTTGTGATACTGCATCATGAAAGTGAAAATGGGTCTTAAAGAAATTAGAAAGTAGTTTATCCCTTCAGCATTCAAACAATAAAATATAAATTTTTGGGTGGATTGACCCTTTCAAATCCAATCCATTAGTGATATGCATAGTGCACTTCATTGATTCACTTCCTACCATAAAAGAAAAAAAAAAGGGAAGCGATAGTGGTGAGCAGAGGGCATGAGCTAGAGGTGGTGGAGTTCCACCTGAAAAAAAAAAAAAAAGCCCTGATCACATGTATGAAACAAAATACTTTGAACAGTGCAAGCCCGTGCTATGCTGACACAATAGAAGCAACATGGCTTCTGCAATCTTTTACTTATAGTCAGGATTAAAATCTGGAGTGACAGAACAGGCGGAGGGAAGGATGTGGGGACCAGAGTAGGGTCCTGGATATGCGATCATAAGTGAGAAAGAAGACATGTAGTTGGAGAGGTATTTTAGACATGATCATTTCCAGCATGAAAACAGCACATTTTGGACTCTCTGTATTACTGAAACTCCTTCCAGTAAAACCAAGTTCTTTGAAAGGAGTCAGACTTGCTTTTCAAACCCAAGGAAAGATCCTCCTTTACTTGAGTTAACAAGGATAACACTGACCTTGCAAAGTCCACAGGCTCTTACCTGCTTCAAGGTCATCTTCATCAATTTCTGGTGTTCCATAACTACGGCTCAGAGCTTCTTGGATTTCATTTGCATCCTCCATCATATCTTCCAGCTGATCCTGTAAGTCCTTTAAACAACATATACGCCTTTAAATGTTTTTTCTCCCTCAATGTTAATAAAAGATCCAGACATTCACAGATTTAAGAAAACAAAGAACAGGCACCAGGTTTACCTCAATCTGATCTATTTTGACTTGCTTGTATGCTTTCTTCATTTCCTTGGCTCCTATTTTCATTGCTTCCACCTTGAGTTAGCAAATTAAAACAAAAAAAGTAATTATTTTTACTTTTTATTTTGTCTGTACAGTTTATATAACATTATGAAAACAAGACAAGAGAGGTAAAACAAATAAATATGATTTATACAAATAAACAGGAACCTCCAGGTTTATGTTAGGACAATAGTCATCATCCAGGGAACACCATCCAGAACAATTCATTTATCTCTAATATAGCCAGGGGAATGCCAAGAGGGATAATCGATTACTCCCCCAATATAGGCCAGTCAAGGGGATACGCGGACTAATCAAGCAGACTTGGCTGCATACTAGTTCAAGATTAATGATGGCATTGGATCAGACTGACAGGCAACTAATATTTGCAGGTCAGCAACAGAGGTTCCCATAGATCTCTTATGACATGATTGGTCCATAATTTTAACTGCCGTGTACATTAGCAAACTTTTTTTGCCTTGTAAAAGGTTATTATTCTGGCCCCAGGGCTGAACCAAAAGTGTTAACGGATTATATCCACTAATTTTATTATACAGTATCTCACAGGAGTACACCCCTCAAATGTTTTAATATATTTTTTCATGTGACAACACTGAAAAAAAAATGACACTTTGCTACAATGTAAAGTAGTGAGTGTACAGCTTGTATAATGGTGTAAATTTGCTGTCCCCTCAAAATAAGTCAACATACAACGGCTGGCAACAAAAGTGAGTACACCCCTCTAAGTGAAAATGTCCAAATTGGGCCCAAAGTGTCAATATTTTGTGTGGCCACCATTATTTTCCAGCACTGCCTTAACCCTCTTGGGCTTGGAGTTCACCAGAGCTTCACAGGTGGCCACTGGAATCCTCTTCCACTCCTCCATGACGACATCATGGAGCTGGTGGATGTTAGAGACCTTGTGCTCCTCCACCTTTCGTTTGAGGATGCCCCACAGATACTCAATAGGGTTTAGGTCTGAAGACATTCTTGGCCAGTCCATCACCTTTACCCTCAGCTTCTTTAGCAAGGCAGTGGTCATCTTGGAGGTGTGTTTGGGGTCATTATCATGTTGGAATACTGCCCTGCGGCCCAGTCTCCGAGTGGAGGGGATCATGCTCTACTTCAGTATATCACAGTACATGTTGGCATTCATGGTTCCCTCAATGAACTGTAGCTCCCCAGTGCTGGCAGCACTCATGCAGCCCCAGACCATGACACTCCCACCACAATGCTAGACTGTAGGAAAGACACACTTGTCTTTGTACTCCTCACCTGGTTGCCGCCACATAAACATTTTTAGTTCAGATGGTGTCAAGTGTATCTTGGTGTCATCAGAGCACAGGACATGGTTCCAGTAATCCATGTCCTTAGTCTGCTTGTCTTCAGCAAACTGTTTGCAGGCTTTCTTGTGCATCATCTTTAGAAGAGTCTTCCTTCTGGAACGACAGCCATGCAGACCAATTTGATGCAGTGTGCAGCGTATGATCGGAGCACTTACATGCTGACCCTCCACCCCTTCAACCTCTGCAGCAATGCTGGCAGCACTCATACATCCATTTCCCAAAGACAACCTCTGGATATGACGCTAAGCACATGCACTCAACTCCTTTGGTCGACCATGGCGAGGCCTGTTCTGAGTGCAACCTGTCCTGCTAAACCGCTGTATTGTCTTGGCCACCATGCTGCAGCTCAGTTTCAGGGTCTTGGCAATCTTCTTATAGCCTAGGACATCTTTATGTAGAGCAACAATTCTTTTTTTCAGATCCTCAGAGAGTTCTTTGCCATGAGGTGCTATGTTGAACTTCCAGTGACCAGTAAGAGTGAGAGCGATAACACCAAATTTAAACACACCTGCTCCCCATTCACACGTGAGACCTTGTAACACTTAACGAGTCACATGACACTGGGGAGGGAAAATGGATAATTGGGCCCAATTTGGACATTTTCACTTAGAGGGGTGTACTCACTTTTGTTGCCAGCGGTTTAGACATTAATGGCTGTGTGTTGAGTTATTTTGAGGGGACAGCAAGTTTACATGTTATACAAGCTGTACACTCACTACTTTACATTGTAGCAAAGTCTCATTTCTTCAGTGTTGTCACATGAAAAGATATAATAAAATATTTACAAAAAATGTGAGGGGTGTACTCACTTCTGTGAGATACTGCATCTTCATTCAGACAGCAATATCCTGCTTTTAAAACAGGCTCAATTCCTTAAAAATGAATCACACATTGGTTGAATTAACAAGGAGATGTTGTTACAAAGGACAACATGTATGTATGTATGCATGTATACACACACACACACGTGATTTTGCACACCCCTGCAACCCTGTAGCAGTATATCTGCTATAGGATGGTCAGGAAGCGGTTAAAGATATGAGTTAAATACAACTTGCTCCCTTTTATGAAAGTAGGACATTTACTGGACTCAAGTAATTATTGACTCAAATTACTTGCAAAACAGACAAGTAGCATGCATTTTATCCTTTACAGGTTAAAGCGGTAGTAAACCTTTGTATTAAAAAAATAAATAAATTCTCCCTGCAAGTTAAAATATATAAAGAGCATAATGTGCTAGTATGCATTGCATACTAGCACATTATGAAAGACTTACCTAAAAACTAAACCCTCCAGCAGCCTGCTGTCACCACTGACAGGGCTTCCATCTTCACCCGGTCTTCCTTCTGGGTTCCCAGGCTCTGGCCATTTGAACTGTCAAGCCGTGATGACGTCACTCCCGTGCATGTACACGGGAGTCACGACAGTTTTATTGTAAGCTTGCCTGTAGATAGAAGTGTTTAGGCGCTGTTTACCACCGCTTTAAGATTTCATCAAAACAAAAAATAAGCATACCGTTGTTTTGGTATCTTTTAGTGTCTGAATGGTATAATTGGCTTGTTCCATGTTGAAGGATTGTTGGTTTAAGTTGTCTCTTTGCTGTTCATACCTGAAAATGCAGAGCAAAGTTAAAAAAAACAAACAAAACATTTTATGAATTCTTATAAGCCAATATTTAAAAAAACAAAACAAAACAAAAAACCTCACTATTTTCCCCATAGCTTTTACAGTATTAATTACAATTTTTTGGTCAAACTCAAACTTTTGAGCTATATTTGTGATGGAGAGAGGCATACAAAAATCAAATGATTGATCAGAAACATTAGGAAGGTTGTTCTGGAAAGCTTTCAAAAGAACGTATGGGAGGACACGTTTCACCCGACATAAGAATATTCTTGGGCGTGTAATACTTTATTACTGCTGGGGTGGCTGTATTTCATTACATGCTTGTTGTGGGCTATAATACACTCCTCCACATGGGTATCTGCTGACTAGATGGGGTGGAATTATAATAATTTATTGCCAGCTAGGGTAGTTTGTCCCTGTTGAATAACAAGCAAAATATGGGGGAGAAGAAAAAAAGAATGGGGATCAATAAGAGGAGAACGTGGACAACACAAGGGGCCACACAGAGGATAGAGCGATGAGCAGGCTGTGCAGCTGTACAGAGGGTGGAGCGACAGATGATGACAAAATAAAAAAAATAAAAAAAGGCACAAAGAAGGAGTGCACGTAGAGTTAAAGTGGTTGTAAAGACAAAAGTTTGTATACATAATGCATTCTCTGCAATAAGGTAAAAAGAACTTTCCAATAGCAGTGCCCCCCCAGCCTCGCCCCGTCTCCCCCTTAAAGACTTACTTAATTCATCAATCCAGTGCGGTTTCTGGATTCAGTTATTCTCTCCCCTCTTTGTGCTTTCACAACCTTGGCTGAGAGCAATGGAGGCCACTGGCTCTGCTGCTGTCAGTCAAATTATGTGAGGAGAGTGCAGGGCCCAGCCAAACAATAGACACATGCAGCCCTGCTCAGGAGCAAACTTGCACATGTGCCCCCATACCAAGCCACTTGTTATGGGGGCACATAGAAAAAGAAGGAGAAGCCAACAGCGCCAGCGGGGGACCCCAGGAATAAAAAGGTTTGGGTCCGTTATGTGAAAAACCAATGCAGGTAGGTATAATATATGTTTGTTATTTAAAAACAAAAAAAAAAAAAAAAAAATGTAGACTTTACAAGAATTTCTTGTGTGTCAACATGGTTGTAAACGAAGAGCATGGTATAGAGGGGGTAAAAAAAAAAAAAGGCAGTTCCTCAGAGGTGAGGTGTCAGAAAGCCACAGATGACAGGCTCAAAACACACAATACAGCTGAGGAAACAAGACAACAGATTGGAAACAAAAGAATTACTGGGGAAGAAAAACCAGAAACAGGCTGTAAGGATAGGAGCGCAAAAGAAGTCTTTTGCAGGCGATGAGGAGAGGAGAGTTTTCAGTGGTTAGGCAAGCAAGGATCAGGGTAAAACAATGGATCAGAGAACAGGAGCACACACAGTGCAGTCCTGCTTCTGATAACTGCAGTACATACAGAACCAGGACTGGCAAGTCATAGGTGCAAACACAATATCTGAAAACGGAGACATCTAAGAAGGCAATATGCAGTCACTGTTCAACTCAGGAAGGGATGGGGTTTTGTTGGAGACGCAAGCCATACATGACACAGATCCTTCCCAAACCTACAGAGGAAAGAGGATACTGCCTTCTATATTTACATATAATATATAAAAAGTATGTATTTAAAATTATAAAAGCTTACAATGTGAGATATTCAATTATCATTAAAATAGAAAGACCAGATCAACCCATGCAGTGAACTGTGATCTCAGTCTGCATGGAGTTTGCATGTTTTCCCTGTCCTTATGCGGGGTTCCCCCAGGAGCTCCAATTTCCCCCTATACTTTAAAGACAGGCAAGCAGGTTAGTTTGCTTATTGTCTAAATTGCCCCCAGTATGTGTGCGCGCCTCCTAGGCAGACTCTGGTAACACGGCATTAAGTAGCTAATGCAATGTGGTCATGGTAGTGGGGTGGGCCAGCTACTAATCTTATGAACATGATGCAAACCGTCCCAATCCTGAAATGATATAAATGTAAATGAAGAAGTATAATATATTACATACAACTACAAAGTACTGTGTGTGAGAATTCTGTATAAAAGTCACTTATGCCAGTTCACAAACTGAGTAAAAAGCAGGCTAAAATACACTTATAAGTAAGTCTAAATCAGGCCTATAAGCCCAGCCTTAAAGTATACAGCAGCCATTCAAACCAACGTTATGTTTATGACATGACTTACATTCTTTTCTGCTTAAGAACCCGCAAGGCTTTTTGCTTGACCATATTCTAAAAGGAAAAAAAAAAAAAAAGGTTTTAGTGATATTTCTGAATTTTCTTCATGTCTACACAGAATTCTAAGTAAACACAAAGTATTTCTAATAAAATGCTGAAAATGTATTATGGTAGTGAGGAAGAATATGAGATTCCATATAAATGGACTTTTAATGTGGAGATCTTTATGACAGTTACAATACTACAGAATCTAACATTTACCTGTGTATACAAACCTTTTACACATAAAAAGTTAGAATGTCATATTTGTTTTTGAACACATGAACACAAGTAACCTGCCAGGGGTCAACAACAGTACAAAAGCACCTACAAAGAAACTGGCTTCACCTGACTGTTGGCCAACTTCACTCTGTAGCAGAGCTCCCCATTGCTTAGCTGGGATGCCTCCACATGCTGTTCCAATAGCAGCCCCCCCCCCCCCCCCTTTGACCTCGGGTCTTTGGGAGGAACCACACTGGCCATAAGGAGATACGATTTGACACAACGGGAAGTGTGAAACTGGATTAGCGATAGGAGCCTTGCTACAGAGCAAAGTGTTTTTAATTGGCCCACTGCAAAGGTAAGATGTGAAAGCAGTTTTCTTCAAAGTGTTTTTATAATTTAAGATATAGTGATGACGTGTTAGACTCTCTAGCAGACTTGTATTACCGTCCATGCCTCTTTTTGAGACAATAGATGTTTCCATTTGTCTAGGTGACCAGTGTAACTGGGACTGAAAATTAAGCAAAATTAAAAATTTTGGAGTCGTCAGAGGCACACTAGTCCCTTAAGAGGACATTTTCATCACTTTGAAGATAATTACTTAAAGTGATATTGAAGTTGCTTTTTATGTAAGCAAATATATTTATATATATATATATATATATATATATATATATATATATATATATTTTTTTTTTTTTTTTTTTTTTTTCCCTTTAATTATGTTATATTGAACAGAGCAGCCCCTTACCTCCCCTTCTGAAGTCCCCCACCCACAGACACATAGCATGGCCGGACCAAACCCCCTTTCTCCCTCCTCAAAAGGATCTAACTGACAGCAGGGGAAGCCATAGGCTCCCACTGTTCTAAGTCTCCTGTGAGACTAAGAGGAGAGAGCAGCCCTGCTGCAGGCAGAGACAGCAATGGATTGTGAGAGGACTCGAGTATTTGAGGGACAGAACAGAAGTGATCAAGAAATCTGCTGAGTGGGACACAGATGACAAAAAATGCTGGTGGCTTTAAACCATTACTTACTCTTTTCACAATGAAAGTTTTTAGAAATACTTTTTTAAACCAATCAAATCACAGATGGAAAATGTATAAGCAGTTCTAGGAGTCTGACAACTTGAAACTTGGGTAACTTGACTGACCTGCCCTGCTGCATAATTTACAAAAACAAATAAAAAAAAAAAAAAAAAAACAAACAGAAACACCACAAAGCAAAAATATTTGTTACAGTCACCAAAAAATTCTGCCAAAGAGCAACATAGCCCAATTAAAATGAATTTCAGAGAACCTCAGAGGAGGAGTTGTTGAGGCTCAAAAAGCTGACTTATGAAAGCATTGGTACACAGGCATAGTAAGAATGGAAGAAGTTCACCAATACTGCAGCCCTTTACATGCACACACAACTATCAACTGACTGCTAAAGAATCCCAAGAAGATGTGTGGATCATCAAGCATTTTGTACTCATGAGTCTATCTTAAGAAAAATGCTAGTCAAGAAAGTTACCAAGAAGGAAATTGCTTTCCAAAAAAAAGTCAAGTTTTCAAAAAAAAAAAAAAAAAAAAAAAAAAATTCCATTCTTGTCCTAAAGAATTTTGTTTCAGAATATTAGATGATCTGTAGCAAAGTGCATACATTATTTTTTGGAGAAAATGAAAACCGAAGCATGGTGAACAGTGTATAAATGGTTATTTAACTGCCTCAGGGCCTGGACAGCTAGTAGTCACTAAAGTATCATAGAAGTTCTACCAACACATGTTACAGAAGCAACTTGCTGTGACAAATGCAGTATATCCAACGTTTCAGATAATATCTTAATAGGAGCAAATTATACACTAATTAGAGATGAGCGAAGTATTCAAAAATTCGATTCGGCTGATTCGGCAAATTCGCGGAATAAATTCGATTCGAGTCGAATATATTCGCTGCGAATTTAACTTATAAAAAGGGTGTTTCTAGGCTTCAGAGAGCCTTTATATTAGTGCAGAACACTGTACCTTTAATTTAAATGCCCTTGGAGTCTGCTGGGGAAGAGAAATAATACTGTCAGTCAGTATGACATGCAGATGAGTGCCGTCGATCTTAGAATCACCGCACACTTCACTCATTTGGGCAGTCACGGGGCCAAAACCAGAGTGTGGAGCCACAGTGTGGCAGTGGAGGCAGCAGCAATGGAAGGCCATACAGCACCCTATGACAAAATGGAACCCACCAGCAGTGTGAGGAGACCTGAAAGTGGCACATGGCAGAGTGTGGCGATGGAGACAGCAGCAATGGGAGGCCGTACAGGGACCCATGAGACACTCTGGACCTGGCAGCATGAGGAGGCGGTACAGGGGCCCATGACAGATTACGGGCCTGGCAGCAGCATGAGGAGTCGGTACGGGGGCCCATGGCAGATTACGGGCCTGGCAGCAGCAATGGGAGGCCCGTAATCTGCCAGCACCCTATGACAAAATGGAACCCACCAGCAGTGTGAGGAGACCTGAAAGTGGCACATGGCAGAGTGTGGCGATGGAGACAGCAGCAATGGGAGGCCGTACAGGGACCCATGAGACACTCTGGACCTGGCAAAAGCATGAGGAGGCGGTACAGGGACCCATGACACACTCTGGACCTGGCAGCAGCATGAGGAGGCGGTACAGGGGCCCATGACAGATTACGGGCCTGGCAGCAGCAATGGGAGGCCCGTAATCTGCCAGCACCCTATGACAAAATGGAACCCACCAGCAGTGTGAGGAGACCTGAAAGTGGCACATGGCAGAGTGTGGCGATGGAGACAGCAGCAATGGGAGGCCGTACAGGGACCCATGACACACTCTGGACCTGGCAGCAGCATGAGGGAGGCGGTACAGGGGCCCATGACAGATTACGGGCCTGGCAGCAGCAATGGGAGGCCCGTAATCTGCCAGCACCCTATGACAAAATGGAACCCACCAGCAGTGTGAGGAGACCTGAAAGTGGCACATGGCAGAGTGTGGCGATGGAGACAGCAGCAATGGGAGGCCGTACAGGGACCCATGAGACACTCTGGACCTGGCAGCAGCATGAGGAGGCGGTACAGGGGCCCATGACAGATTACGGGCCTGGCAGCAGCATGAGGAGTCGGTACGGGGGCCCATGGCAGATTACGGGCCTGGCAGATGACGACGAGGCTGCCAAGTGCGATCAGCCTCATCATCATCAATTAGGGTCTCCGCCTCACTACTAGCCCCCTCGGCTGCGTGTGGGTCAGGAGACAGACCTGTCTCTAGACCGGCTACCGAGCCACTCTCCTCGCCAGTACTTCTTCGCCTGGCTGCTGAAGAGGCGGATGTCTCCCCCCGTTCCTGACCGCCCTCTGTTAGCTCTTCCTCACTGTACAGTGGGGCTGAGCCCACAGCATGCGATACTTCGCTTGGTGAGGGAACACCAAAGGACAGGGGCAGGTAGAGGACACGTGATTTCAGTGGGCTTGCTCCCGGGCCATGCCAACTAACGGTTGTGTCTGACGTACCCACCGACCGTTGGCTGTAGGTGTCAGAGGTGACCTGGGAAGAGGAAGACGACCGAGCCAACCAATCGATGACGGCAGGGTTGTCGGTGGAGACACGACCGCTGGATGACACCGGGAGCACTGGCCTCTGGCAGCGACTAGTGCTGCCTCGACCCCTTCCTCTGCTGCCACGTCTGCTCGCTCCTGAAACATTGCCTCCTCTGCCACTCCTCTGCGTGTTGTCTGACATACTCTTTAATTCAACGATTCTGTGTCCCTGAGTAACAATTCTGTGTCTGTCCCAGAGTAACAATTCTGTGTCTGTCCGAGTAACAATTCTGTGTCTGTCCCTCAGTAACAATTCTGTGTCTGTCCCTCAGTAACAATTCTGTGTCTGTCCCTCAGTAACAATTCTGTGTCTGTCCCTCAGTAACAATTCTGTGTCTGTCCCTCAGTAACAATTCTGTGTCTGTCCCTCAGTAACAATTCTGTGTCTGTCCCTCAGTAACAATTCTGTGTCTGTCCCTCAGTAACAATTCTGTGTCTGTCCCTCAGTAACAATTCTGTGTCTGTCCCTCAGTAACAATTCTGTGTCTGTCCCTCAGTAACAATTCTGTGTCTGTCCCTCAGTAACAATTCTGTGTCTGTCCCTCAGTAACAATTCTGTGTCTGTCCCTCAGTAACAATTCTGTGTCTGTCCCTCAGTAACAATTCTGTGTCTGTCCCTCAGTAACAATTCTGTGTCTGTCCCTCAGTAACAATTCTGTGTCTGTCCCTCAGTAACAATTCTGTGTCTGTCCCTCAGTAACAATTCTGTGTCTGTCCCTCAGTAACAATTCTGTGTCTGTCCCTCAGTAACAATTCTGTGTCTGTCCCTCAGTAACAATTCTGTGTCTGTCCCTCAGTAACAATTCTGTGTCTGTCCCTCAGTAACAATTCTGTGTCTGTCCCTCAGTAACAATTCTGTGTCTGTCCCTCAGTAACAATTCTGTGTCTGTCCCTCAGTAACAATTCTGTGTCTGTCCCTCAGTAACAATTCTGTGTCTGTCCCTCAGTAACAATTCTGTGTCTGTCCCTCAGTAACAATTCTGTGTCTGTCCCTCAGTAACAATTCTGTGTCTGTCCCTCAGTAAAAATTCTCTGTCTGTCCCTCAGTAACAATTCTCTGTCTGTCCCTCAGTAACAATTCTCTGTCTGTCCCTCAGTAACAATTCTCTGTCTGTCCCTCAGTAACAATTCTCTGTCTGTCCCTCAGTAACAATTCTCTGTCTGTCCCTCAGTAACAATTCTCTGTCTGTCCCTCAGTAACAA